CCAACGGAAGACCTTATTGTTTTCGTTCGGTTTCTTTTTCCCTATTATTAAGATCTTCCGTCTCCAACGGAAGACCTTATTGTTTTCGTTCGGTTTCTTTTTCCCTATTATTATTTTTCTTACCGATTTTGTGCACGCGATTTTTCGGAAACGGCTCGCCCGATTTTCACGAAACTTTCAGATCTGATAGATATTCATCTGAAACTTGTCGGAAATTTTCGTCGTTGATGACGTCACTTCCGGTCGTGAGATATGGACGATTTTCTGATTTTTAGAGGGTCGGCTTGTCCAGAGATCTCCTCCTAAACGACCGAAGATATCGACTTGAGATTTTCAGTGAAGGTAGAGGAGGGATATTAGATGTGACATTTTGCATATAGAGCTTTCCAGGTAAAAGGCATCGGCGCTCGCCTGGGCTCAAAAAATAGGCTCATACGCATCTCGCAAATATTGATATGTTTTCTTTTATATCTTTTTACTGGTTAATATTTTGTTAAGACATATATAATAAAACTTGTGCAATATAGTAAGAACTTTCATTTGATATGAAGAAAATGGGGCTAGCCCTTCAAATTAGGGGCATAGAGGGGCCAAAAGTCTCTCGTCTTTAACTCTTTAATGATCAATATTTTGTGATACATTACTGAAGCAAAGATATTTAACTTATCTATTGGCAACAATATATACTAAAAACTTGATCATATGTTACGTAATAAAGGGTCACAGGGGGCTAGAATGCTGAGTCTTTGACGCTTTGTATTTCGAAAAGCGTGAATATTTTGATAAGCAATATTGAACAAAAGATGGTCAAAATAATGTTCCCAACAATATACATACTTTTAATTTGTTCATTTTTTCCGTCGACACTACCGTTGTAAACGGGAAGTACATGTAATTTAAATACATGTACATGTATAGCGATTTTTTGTCATTTTCTAATGAATGTAATTGTTCATTATAGAGATTTAAAGAATGCGTAGCATATTAATATTTCCACCGGAAGTACGGCTTGTTCAAATCGGAAATTGTCTAAAAATGAGTATTTTCCATCGAAACTTTCAGGGATGATTACTGCACGCTTGATGTAGAGTTGAAAGTCGTCTTGAGCACATACGATCGCACTGGAAGTGAATAAGAAGAAGTTGATTGGATTTGATAGATCCTACATTTTTTTGTATTTCTAAAGATATTTTGAAAAATTCTTGTGCTTTTTTGACATTTTTCATCCTATCAGTGGAATTATCCCAACACGGATCTTATTCCATCAGATATCGGACGGAAGACCTACTCGTTGCTTGCAACGAGATCGCATCTAGTTATTATTATTATTTTTCTTACCGATTTTGTGCACGCGATTTCTCAGAAACGGCTGGACCGATTCTCACCAAATTTTCAGATCTGATAGATATTTATCTGAACCTTGTCGGAAATTTTTCGTAAGTACGTCGTCACTTCCGGTCGTGAGATATGGACGATATACTGATTTTTAGAGGGTCAGCTTGTCCTGAGATCTCCTCCTAAACGACTTAAGATATCGACTTGATATATTCAGTGAAGGTAGAGGAAGGATAGTAGATGTGACATTTTGCATATAGAGCTTTCAAGGTAAGAAGGCATCGACGCTCGCCTGGGATCGAAAAAAAGCCTCATACTCATCTCGCAAAAATTGACACGTTTTCTTTGATATCTTTTTACCTGTTAATATTTTGTTAAGACATATATAATAAAAAATGTGCAATATAGTACGACCTTTCATTTGATATCAAGTAAAAGGGGTTAGTCCTTCAAATTAGGGGCAAAGAGGGGCCAAAAGTCTCTCGTCTTTAACTTTTTTGTTTTACAATATTTTCAAATTATATTAGTATAGTTGATAGAAACATTTCTTATTAGGCTGAATATATAATTCGTTTGTAAATTTATAAATTCAAACTCGAGATATTAACATTCAAAAATCTGAAGCGGGAACTAAATGGCGGCGGTCTCTGTCAATTCCGACATTTCGCAATAGCGGTTAACAGAGGCAGCCGAGCGTTTGCTTGAACGAAAGTAACATAAGGAGCAATGAAATGTGTAGGGATACTTGGATTGTCACGTCGTAGGTTCGTTGCAATTCTGTGTCAAACTACATTCATAATCCAAGGTCTCCTTACAAGTTTTCTTTAATTGGTTTTGGTTGTTTCTCAAAGTAGAAAAAAGAAAAGAATTAATGTGCAAATTAAGTACGCATTGATGATATTATCTAAATCAAAAGGATTTAATCGAAAGAGAATAGGCATTATTCCATGATGTATTATCAAAGATCATAGTCAAAGTCATATCTCATCTTATCGAAAATTCGGACGGAAGACCTACTCGTTGCTTGCAACGAGATCGCATCTAGTTATTATTATTTTTTTTCTTACCGATTTTTGTGCAAGCGAATTCTCGGAAACGGCTCTGCCGATTTTCACGAAACTTTCAGATCTTATAGATATTGGTCTGAACCTTATTGGAATTTTTTTATATGTACGTCGTCACTTCCGGTCATGAGATATGGACGATTTTCTGATTTTAAGAGGGTCAGCTTGTCCGGGCAATCACTAAAAAACGAATAAAGATATTGACTTGAGATTTTCAGTGAAGGTAGAGGTAGGATTGTTGAATTGCTTTTTTGAGTTTATATCTTTCCAGCGCATAAAGCGTTGAAGCTTGTCTGAGCTCGTTTTTATTGTTATTTATCTGACCATCTAATTTTGTATACGCGATTTCTCAAAGACTACTGGGTGGATTTTCATGAAATTTGCAGGAACAATGTGTTGTTATCTGAAGTTATTTTATCCGAGAGATTTTTTGGAAATTCCTTTCTGGTGCCAAGTTACGGACAGTTTTCTGATTTTAAAATGACATTTTGTTCGCGGATAATCTCAAGAACGGTAAAAGATATCACTGTGAAACTTTCAGGGATTATAGATCGTGATAAGTACTATCCAAGACGCGATCTTTTGTACGTCGTCTCTACTTCCTGTCGTAACGGCATGCAAAGAAAAAAGTCGAATTTTTAAAACTTTTTTGTTTTTCAATATTTTCAAATGATATTAGTATGGTTGATAGAAACATTTATTATTAGGCTGAATATATAATTTGTTTGTAAATTGCTGAATTCGAACTCGAGATATTAACATTCAAAAGTCTGAAGCGGGACCATAATGGCGGCGGTCTCTGTCAATTCCGACATTTCGCAATAGGGGTTTACAGAGGCAGCCGAGCGTTTGCTTGAACGAAAGTTACATAAGGAGCAATGAAATGTGTAGGGATACTTGGATTGTCACGTCGTAGGTTCGTTGCAGTTCTATGTCAAACTACATTTATAATCGAAGGTCTCCATACAAGTCTTTTTTAATTGGTTTTGGTTGTTTCTCAAAGTAGAAATAGAAAAGAATTAATGTGCAAATTAAGTACATGATCTATTATCTTTTGTTTTGCATCACGAAAACACATAGCTTAAATCATAATTATAATAAATATTTTTAAAAACAATATTTATAGTAAGTACAAAACGTGACCAATGTTTTCCAATGCACACTTGTGTCATATTTGAAGCTCGCCTGGGCTCGAAAAATAGACTCACAAGTATTTCGCAAAATTTGACACGTTTTCTTTGATATCTTTGTACCTGTAAATTTGGTTAACAGATATGTAATAAAAGTTGTTCAGAATAACAAGTTCTTTCATTTAATAAGACGAAAATGGGTTTGACCCCTCAAATAAGGGGCCTAGAGGGACAATAACGTTTCAATTCATAACTCTTTAACTATCAAGATTCTGTTATATATTTCTAAAAGCAAAAATGTTTTTCTTAACAATCTACAACAAAACATTGAAAAAATATGATCATACGTTACGTAAAAAAGGGCCATAAGGAGCCAAGATGCTGAAATCTTTGCTTCTTTTTATCTCCAAAGGGAGAAATATTTTGATAAGGAGTATTGAATAAGAGATCTTTAGGATCGTATTTTACACAATATACAACAATTCAATTTTTGCAAAACGGCCCCATTAAGGACTTGAAGGACTGGCCTCTATATATTTCTATCATGCATAGCTCAAAAACGAAAAGAAATTTCTGAATAGTTGTTGAACAAAAATCATTAAAGTTACAAGCCGTATCATTTGAAATGAAGAAAAGGGGTCTGACCCCTAAAATAAAGGGCCCAGAGGGGCCAAAAGAATTTCATCTATAACTCATTGATGATATAATCTAAATCAAAAGGATTTGATCAAAAGAGAGAAAGCATGATATCATTATGTTTTAACAAGGATCATATCAAAATCATATCTCATCTTATCGAAAATTCGGACGGAAGACCTACTCGTTGCTAGCAACGAGATCGTTTCTAGTTGTACTTATTATTTTGTTGATTCCAGATCATTCTTTTTTTTTTCTTTTTTTGACAACAAAGCTTCATCTTTCGGTTATTTTTGGTTTCTTTTATGTCTTGTATTATACTCAGGAGACTGTAAGGCCTATTGATATCTTGTTTAAAAGTTCCATTTTGACCACACAATCTAATTTCGTAAATGGATAGTTTGAAATTTTACACGCTATACTGCTTTTTTCTCAGATGCCCATTGGTTCTTAAGGAATTGTGAAATTAAAGTTTGTTGAGCACCAGATATTCAAATATTTTAACAATACTCGTGACCATACATTATTACAAAAAGTACTTATGCTTGGTACATGCTACATTTAAGCTTATACTACGGTAGGGCTATGGAAAAAAAACCTACATGATTCTACTCGAATGCTTACAGGAAAAGGTTGATCAAATGCATGTTTGTCCTGCATTTGTTACACAAATTGAAATGTTAGTCATGATGGCAGGGAAACTAAGTCCTTTCAATAAATGTCATGCTTATACAAAGAAAATTAAACATCAAAGTCAAATTATAATCAACTGACTCACTACAAATTTAAAAACAAATTTATTTACCGTCCATAATATGTATTTCTGGTTTTTTTTTTTTCAGTTTGTCCTAGTGGGTGGCTTCCCTTTGATAGCCATTGTTATCTTCATAGCGAAAACAAGGAGAACTGGAACGAATCAAAGGTAGGGAAATTGTTAATATATTATTTAAAGACTTCTCCTATGAAAATAATGAACTTATTCCAAGTAAATTTCAGAAAGCATGTCAAATTGAAGGTACGTATATAGAGGATATATCCAATGTTCTCTGTGCGATTTCGAATCTATTTCACGAGTGTAACAGGACTTTTTTAATATGTTCACGATTGGAAGGCACGAGTGAACATTATATAATTATTGACTTTTGATTTCGGTGTAGGCCGAGGTGAACTAATACCTGACGAGGTTCGTATAGTCACGAGTAGACCGAAATCAAAAGTCAATAACTGCTTTATTAAATGATCACGAATTTTACATACAAGTTTTCATGCACATATATTTTATTTCTTCAACAAATGTAAACAATTATAAACATATCACATATGTCATATTTAAACCACAGGAATCTGAAGTTTTTATCGTCCAAAAAAAAAATCCAGGAAAAAAATTTCCCACCCTCAACTAAAAAACACAAGGATAGCAACGTGTTTTGGGGGACCCACCTAAACAAATAGATCTGGGTTTGGCCAGAAAAAAATCCCGACTTATTCAGTACCCGTAGTTTGTGTTATTTATTCAAGTTGAAAAATCTAATCTGCTTGATGACTACGGGCCGTGCATGACCTTTTTTCCACATTGACAGCTCATCCTGGACTCCATGCCACTAAACCGGAAGTAATATCGCAGTGTATATTTGACGTCTATAAAAGCTTGTTCAAATAAAAATAAAATAAATAATTGTTCAAAGTGATTTGATTCAGTTATTTTTATATAAGTAAGAAACCGTTAAAAAGTTTTCAATTCTTTTTCTTACTTATATGACGAGATGAACCAGGGACAGATAATTCTGATTTTATGAGGCGCCAAATTTAAATCACTAATCAAAGTTCTGAAAGTGCTGATAGGCGGAAGCATGATTGCAAGTTCTCATGTGAAAAACTTTAATGACACATATTATTCTCCCTTTTGAAGCGGAGAGATGAGAATAGGAGAAGTCAACAGCAGTATGAACATTTTAACATTTATTTTTGTAAAGTTTAACAACATAAAATTAAAATGCAAGGTGCAATTATACATTAAATTTGTAAGCTATGGTTTTGGAGAACAAGAAATGGACAATTATAAAATTTCACACAAAAATAAGTACTAATGAGTAATAGAAAACAATATATATCACAACTGCTTTTGTTTTTTCTGTATATTAAGTTGACTTAGTACCAATGAAACAAAGTCTTTTTAAGCTGCAAATTAAATAAGGATGCAACATACATAGAAGACCTTACATAGATTTACAATGTGCTTGTGGTTCTATTAATTGTCTTGATTCAATGCACGTATGGCCCAGGTAGAACAAATCACAAGTCTCTAATGCTGATGATAGGTGAGCCCTATGTCATGATGTCCACAATAAATGGTATTTTTTTCAGGAGAGCTCCTACCATGAGAGACCCTTGAACGCCAGACAATTTTTTTTATTCCTGTGGTAAATTTTCTTTCGGGATTGTAAAATATTGGTACATGCATCCTAATATCAGTAGTGTTTTTAGCTCACCTGAGCCGAAGGCTCAAGTG